GGAGAGTACCATAAAAAATATTTCACGAACCAAACAAGAGAAAATAAGTGATAAAACCACTCATTTTGATGAAAAACATTTTTCTTTCATACCAAACACACCCTTAATTTTTATGGCTAGTTTCTGGCAAGAATATGTAGATGAGTAGACAGAGGAGGCTTGAGATTTGGGGTTGTCCGGTCTCAATTCATAAATTTTGATCTTGTACATATTAGTTCATTAGTAAATAAATATACTTTAATTACCAAAAAAAAGTAATATTTCAGAATTTTTATGTAGTTAAAATTCTATCCTCCATTTTTACAAAAGTATAAGGAAAAAAAAAAATACCTCCTAGTTTTATACGTAGCGCCTGCTTTGCATGAAAATTAGTAACTTTATTAAAAGAATATATTTAGTTCCTTAAAAGTCTTTATGTGATAAGAAACTACTACTACTAAGTAACTAATGTAAAGTTAATCAAGTGAAATAATTTAAACTAATGAGCAGTCAGATTCCGTTTCACCTTTTTGGAAGTTAGGTTCTTGAGTATAAGAATCCAACTAATTTTCAAGACTAGCTGTTATCCCACATCGGCCATGTGGAGATTAGAGTCCAGAAAGGAGGCTATAAAATTCGATTGCCAAAGTATGGAAAATTATCTTTGCGCTTGGGGCAATGACGCAGCTAGTGAGGTTCTAACCGAGGCGCGTCTATTGCTGGTTGAAAACTATTTCCAAACCCCCTCTTTGGCCTGGGTTCTGCCCTGGCCATTGAGAATTTTTGAAAGGGCTTCCCTTTGGGGTAAAGCCCTACAATACTCAGTCCAATTATTAGCAAGTCTTAGCCTTCACAATTTCCTCAAATCTTAGACTCGATAATAGCGAAGTCTTAGTAACAAGTCGCACAACCATATGAACAAGTGAATGACATTGAAATTTCCATGTTTTGTTAGGCTTAAATTTTTTTTTTTTGAAATTTGGACGAATAAACGGTTTACAAAACTCAAACCAACCATATTTACAAACCACACAACGTGAAGTTAAGTTCGCTTTGCACACTCCTTGATCAACTATAAGGTGTTTATACGTTTAGAGGTCAGCCTCATTTATCATTTGCAGCTACCAATTATAAGAGGGAAAGGGGCTATGATATCTTAGATTATGCTCTATTGAGATGCTTCCATAATACAGCTTGTACCACAGACTGATCGTTCTTTTTTTCCATTATTTGTACACTCATCTGTGCTTATTGTTGCAGTAAATATTGATATTCTTTGCTAGAATCAGGGACGCAGATACTTTCTAGTGGTGATACTTTATTCATTCTAAAGTGGTTCCCTTTGTTGTGATCGGATAGACGCTCGTAACGAAAATGCAATTCAGTTTTAGACGCCGTAAACGTAAAGGTGCATGTAATAGAAATTGGTACTAGACTAACCATATGATACCAAATTTACCTACGTTCCTTCTAATCAGAGAAGGCATTGTTGACGTCTAAATAGAAAGACAGCATTTCATTAAAGCTTGGTTGACTTAACCATATAAAAGAAAAATTGTACTCTATGAAAATAGTTCCACGAGCCATGCCTGAGAACAGTTGCAAAGAAACATAACTCTAAATAAGCAAATTAGAGAAAACGGTTAGCAACTAGAACTTGGGTGCAATCACAGCCATTCTTTACAAAGTTTCCAAAATCTTCCTCACCATCTTGCACCTTGAACAAATTATGAACGGTGGAAAAAAAAAAGGAAGGAAAGAAAACATGGCAAGCAGAATCTAGATGAGCTCCGGGTTTTCAAAGGTAAACTAAGTTAGATCAACCTTGGTCATCTCAAACTCTGTACATTGTAATGGATCCGGAACCCCGAGCACCAGCATAACTTTGACTATGTCAGTGATGGCCGCCCCTTTTAAAAGACACCAATTGATTTGTCCTTGTGTTTATCCTTCCCATCATCTCCAGCCTGTTTTATAGCATATATAACTAGGTTTAAAAATGAACTTCAACAGAACATTGTTTATCTGGTGCAAATATCATACCTCCTTGGTTAGATGCTGCAGAATATCCAAAATCTCTGAGAAATCAGGTCTTTGAGTTGGGTCTTGCTGCCAGCATTTCTGAAGGAGTTCCACAAGCTTTGGATGAGCATGCTCTGGAATCGTCGGCCGTAGACCCTGATATCATCATTCCAACAAGGAATTGTAGCTCAGCAAGAAAAGATTTCACTAGAAATATAAATGACATTACACGCATATTACCTGTTGCACAACGCCTATTGCTGCTTGTAAGGGTGTTAAGCATGCATATGGAATCTGCCCCATCGTAGACATGACGTAAGTCTCGATGATAAAGAAATACTAGGTGAAACTGAGTAGCAGTAAAACTTACTTCTCCAGTCAGAAGTTCCCACAGCACTATACCAAAGCTGAAAACATCGGCCTTGTGATCATATGGTCTGTGTTCAATTACCTTTCAACAAAAAGAAACCTATTTTAGGGTTGAATCATAAAACAACTTGAAGTAAACTAACTTGCTGACAAATGGTTTATCACAAATTAGGCTTCAGCCGTTACTGAAATACAATGTTGAAGTGGGATTGATATAAAAGAATGGTGAAAAATAAAGAGCAAAGATGCCAAATACTAAACACTTTACTCAGCAAAATCTTAAACCCTCAGCATGACAAATTGTAAAAGGAATTCTTGCGAGTACACTGAAACTGAACTTAAAACTCAGTAAAACATTATTGAAAGTGACTCCTCGTGCTTGAGCCCCCAGCACAGCTTGAAGGGACAATCACACTTCATTAAGTCAATCAATCAACCAACAACTCCAGCTCCAAACTAGTTGAGCTCAGCTATATTAACAATCTACTCTATATGGATCCATTTTATTCCAATATTCAATCACGAACAACTCTAGTTTTAATCATTTTCTAAAACTAGCGATTTTCTAAAACTCATACTTATACTTATCCCTGTACTGATGTACAGATCTCCAACCATACTGAAGATATTCCAGAGGAACATAACACCTAATGTAAGTGCAAGAACAACAACTATGCCAAAATCCTAATTGACCTCTCTCTCATGTATGGATCCTCAGCTTTCATTCCAGTAATTTCTTAGCTTAATCCATATGGATTTCGATAGATGGTAGGTTTTTTCAGACAATTTGTCTTTATGCGAATTTAGGTTTACCTCGTTCCGTTTAACATCTTTAATCATCCTAGTACCATAATTCTGACCGATACATCCAGAGGGTAGGACATGTCCAAACTATCTCATATGTTCACTAATTTTATCCTTTCATAGTAAATCTTGTCTAGTCTTTGTATGATTGCACATCCATCTTGACATCTGCGCATCTGTAGCACTTGTATTGTGGCTTTGAATGGTCCAACATTAGCTCCCATACATCATTATTGGTTGTCACAACCATTCTATACTTGGTAAATATCTTCCTATTGTATAATATACTTCCGGTAGCACTCCTCCTTTTCAGCAACCCTACTTTAATTTTATATGTCACATCTTCATCTATCATGTCAATATCATTCTCATGTAAGACTAAGAATTGTTTGCGTCTAGGCATCACAAATCCATTAATCTCATGTGAACTTCATTCTTCTTGTGGAACAACAAAACCTAAGCATGAGATAAAAGGAATATTTGGTACACCAATCACACATGATGTGAACAAGAAAAGTAATATATCAGTTTCATGACTTCCAACCGAATTCAAGATATTGTAAGAAGTTTTGGGTGATATATGAAATTTACATCTTGCACACCTCAGGAGCCATCCATCTATATGTTCCAGTTTCTGCGGTCATCACCCCTGTTTGAGCCTGCACTCTGGCAACCCCAAAGTCACCAACTTTAACAACCTATACAGGAGAGAGATGGATCTAGAAATCAATGAGAATACACCGGCAAAAAAAAAGAAGGAAAAAAACCTTTGAATGGAAAAGGATCGTTGTCTTAAAGCTGGCACTTAGCATTGGGATGGTTTAAGGAACACACGTCGTTTTATTTCCTTAAAATGAAGAAATGAATAGTATAGACGTTATCAAGAATATTACGGCAGTACGGTAGTTTGTGGAGCGCACTGTTTGCACCTTTTGTAACTATAAAGTAATTTGAGTTATCTATTGATCAAGCTCACACTCTTTTAATAGTACCCATTGAACATCTAATAGGATTATAGTAGTAAGTAAAGTGCATGTGACTTGGCATTTCGATCTCGTTTGCTTATTCTTTATTCTTACGAATTCAGTTTTGTATTCTATTAACAACTCCTTTTCTTTACCTTGGACTAAATTTCTTTGATAAGGATCTTCATCAGTAAGGCATTTGAGGATATGCATGCTTTAGAAGTACCTATGCACTTCAAAAACTTGATGTAACTATCATAAGATAGCATTTTCAATGTCTCATTCAATACTCTTGGATAGCCTAGTTATACAAGAAGGTTATTCCGCATATTCTCTACTACTAGTGAAATTCTAACCTTGATAAGCCCAACATCTTTCCTTTTTCAAAAGCTTCAAACAATGGGATATAGTAATCTGAATACTATACTTAGTAAGTGATGACATGATATCCCGAATTTCAAACAGTAAGACACAGTAAGACTACATGACCAGCTTTCTGACATAGTATAGATACATCTCTGACTTACTCCATGTTCATCCATTAGAAGATTGGCAGTCTTCAGATCCCGGTGAATTATCTTATTCTGGTGCAGATAATTCATTCCCTTAGAAACATCAGCCGCAGCCTTGAGGAGAGTAGGAAGCTTAAAGGCACCTTTTTGCTTGTGCAAAAAATTGTAAATACTTCCTCTGGACATGAACTCTGATCAAGAGTAATCAAAATGCAGCTTTCAATTGATATGATGGAGAAGGATAGATACCCATAGGTTCTAGAAGTAATTTGAGATAGAATGCAAGTATCAGTAGCTAAAAGACATGGTTCAAAATTTTGGCAAATTTAAAAGAAATCAACAGAGACCCAGCATTTCTCTGATACCAAATATCACAACACTTCAAGCTTAAAAGACAGAGATCTCAAAACTATACCAGTTACAATGCATAGGTTTGGAGATCGCGTGCATGCCCCTATAAATTGAACGACATTTTTGTGCCGAATTTTCCTACAACAGGAAATAACAGAAAATCTCAACAAGGAAATTTAAACTGAGACACTGAAAATTTAAATCCACAAGCAGAATTCCCCATACATATTTTGGATTTGTTATTATTTCTCAGGCCAAAGTGCAGTTTAATCATGTCCAGGACAAATTGACTGCCATATTTTTTTTTGCATAAGATAAATTCCATTAATAGAGTACCAAGGAAGTATGACAAATTGACTGCCATGTGTAAGAAAAGATTGGCACGGTGACTTAATCTAGAAAGATGATTCGTCAATTGCAAGAGAATCTTTTATTTTAACCAGACGATATTCAGATGAGATCATGTTTCAGAAAATGATCAAGCTTTTGATAAGGTAAGGAAATTCTTTATAAGGCAAGAAGCTGATCGGGTTTCATGCTAACTTAATCCTTCACTATGTGTGTGACGTCTGTTACCATGAACAGCCAAATGCCAATTACAGAAAGAGTAATGAAATACTTAGTTTCCATGTTAATGCATGTAAAGAGATCACCAATTCAAGTACTAAAGTGAAAAAGTAACCCCCAAGATCCCAAATTGAATGTCCTGTTTAACTTTCTAGAGTCGCTTAGATCATTTTTTGAGATATACTATATTGATGTATTTTTTATGAAAATTTCAAAAGCAAAATCTTATTTTCCAAGAACTACTCAGTCATCTTTCAATTCTACTCGGGGTATTGGTTATACTGACACTTGATAAACTAAACAGGACATTTAATTTCGTATCAAGGAGTGAAAAATAGCACATTCTCTTCTGGTATGAAATAGCTTTTTCTGTAGAGTAAGCCACTATCTCTAGAAGTGTTGAAACAATCTGGTCTTGATTAGTCTGTAACTCATGGACAGACTCATCTTTCACATAAATGAACAGAAGTGAGGTTGTAAATCCTAAAATAACTGCTCATTCCAGAATGACCATGAACATATGACTGACACACCTCATAATGAAGACCTCTTGTGAGAACTCTTTTAACATATCCATATTCAACTGCTCTGGCTTCAGAACTTTTATAGCCACTTCCTGGCTACAATAGGTGCCTTTATACCTGAAAGAGACAGTATAAATTTTCTGATACACAAACTTAACTAGAAAGCAAGAAATAGATAATTGAATCATACAGAACTCCAAATGACCCAGATGCAACTCTGTTTTCAAACTTCAACAAACGGATATCAATTTCCCAGTCATCAGTTCCATCAGTAGGTATTTTCACACAGTTAGAAACTGATTCAGATACTGTTTGACCTTGCTCGTTCAAAGAAGCCACAGAATGTTGTGGTTGCTCCTGAAAAAACAAAACCTGGAAATTACAGGTTTGCCACCACAGAACGTCCAAATATAAAACCCCAATCTATAAGTATCCAACTAAAGAGAAAACGTGCGGTGAAGAAAGTAATAGAGAACTCCGGTTGTGGACTCTAAGCAGGCATAATCTGGTGCAGACATGTAAAATGACCAAACTAAGAACCTCCTTTATGCCCCTTTCTATTTTTTCAATTATTCAGACTACCAAAGAACTTCTACAACAGCCATACAATAATTATCACCATTGTTGGCACACATGCCAAAATAAAGGACAATGTAGATCATGTAGTTCATTACCTTTTCTTTTTTGATGAAATGGTAGTCATTCACCTTTTAATTATAGGAAATTGTTATGATGTCATAAACAAGAAAGGGTTGGAAGAAATATCAAGAACACCACACAGAACACCGTCGATCGAATACTGTAAGCGTGTCTAGATGCAGGCACCTAACATATTTTTGCATTTATAAAGATTTTAAGTTTATTTCCTTTTATCATTTTCATACCCAAACCACATGCATATTGCACATAATTACCTGCAGAAAATTCTATAGGCAACCCTAGATGGGCAATCAAAAGGTCAGAGGAACCTACCATAGTTAAAGTGCGTAAAAATAATTTTTCGTCTCAGATTCTCATTTCAAGTAAGTCCTTCCAGAAGTTTTGAAAAAGAAAGTTCCAGGAATGGTTGATTAGTGACTGGATAAGCGCTCATATTATCCTCCATGCGGTTATAGGTCATTTTGTAGCCTTGTTTTAACACAAGTATCCTACCAAGTACCAACCTATGATTTTGCTATGCATTGTTGCTCTATCATAGATGCAAGCTTTCAAGTAACAACTAAGCCAAGCCTTGCAAATTTTGTCAAGGATTATATTTTCTTTTACAGAAGTGCGTTCGAGATATATTATTTGGTACGATGTATAAGAAAAATAATCTCCATGTGACTAATAATCCTTCTATTTCCTCCTATCAATAAATACATCACGCACAAGTTTAGTTGACAATAATTCTTCGCTCAACCCTGGAGGCCGGTACTGGAAAACTGAAATTGATTTAATAGCCTGTTTGGCCAAGCTTCTTTTTAGCCAAAAGTGCTTTTTTTTGGCCAAAAACACTTTTGGCCAAAAATTGAGGTGTTTGGCCAGGCTTTTGGAAGGAAAAAAAGTGCTTTTGAGGAAAAGCAGAAGCAGTTTTGGAGAAGCAGAAAAAAGTAGTTTCTCTCCAAAAGCACTTTTTTGAGAAGCACTTTTGAGAAAAATACACTTAGAAGCAGTTTTTTAAAGCTTGGCCAAACACTAATTGCTGCTCAGAAGTTCTTTTCAAACTAATTAGCCAAACACAAACTGCTTCTCACCAAAAGTACTTTTGAGAAGTGCTCAAAAGCACTTCTGAAAAAAGCACTTCTCAAAATAAGCTGATTTTTGCAGCTTGGCCAAACGGGCTATAACAACAGTTAGAAGCAAAGTAACTGTAGGATTACTCTACTGGAGATCACGCTATATCCTTATCAAAAGAAAATCACGCTATAACTTTGTCCTCAATCAAAGGCAACCTTCCTAAGCAAAGACTTTACTAAAGTAAGAATGAAAGAAAGCAGCAGAGAAGCACAGGCAAAGACCTTATGTTCAAGACATACATTTCTTCTTTTTAACCTCCAATGGCTTCCGACAGCTTCTGATATCATGAATCAAATGGACAAAGATGAACTCTTCCTGGTGGACATACCAAATTCAAACTAATGCAATCATGAGCAGTCCATTCATGAGTACAGAGATTTTGAATCCACTTGTTTCAGGATGAGTGGCTGAAATGAGGATGCTGAGATGGATGTGCGGGCATACCAAGTTAGATAGAATTAGAAATGAAGTTATTCGGGACAAGGTAGGCGTGGCCCCTGTGGAAGACAAGATGCGGGAGGCGAAACTTAGATGGTGCGGACATGTGAAGAGGAGAGGCACAGATGCACCGATGAGGAGGTGTGAGAGGTTGGCCGTGGAGGGCCTAAGGAGAGGTAGAGGCAGGCCGAATAAGTATTGGGGAGAGGTGATCAGGCAAGATATAGTATTGCTCCAGCTTACTGAGGACATGACCATGGATAGGAAGGTGTGGAGGTTGAGAATAATGGCAACGGGTTAGGATAGGTAGCCGAGCGTTGTCCTTGTCTATAACAGTAGCTTTAGTACACGAGTTAGTGTTATTTGTGTATTTTCGTATTCCTTGACTTCTGTGATTACTTGTTGTTGCTTTCATTTCGGCTTTCTGATTGCAGTACTTAGTTTTAGTTTTGTATTTTTGCTTCGGTTTACTAATTGGCGTGCTTGTTGTTGCCCTTTCTTTTACCTTTCCTAAGCCAAGGGTCTACCGGAAACAACCTCTCTTACTTCTTGAAGGTAGGGGTAAGGTCTGCGTACACGCTACCCTCCCCTGACCCTACTTGTGGGATATCCCACAGAGTTTGTTGTTGTTTCAGGATATCTCTAGAGGATGCACTGAATTTCTAAAAATAAGAAACAGCAGGATGCCAACACGCAACACCTTGATATTGCCAATGAAAAGGCAATCACATGAAACACATAATATAAAGAGTAGAATATTTCAAATGCCATTCATTCTCATTTCAAGTGACAAGAACATCTACCTTGCTCCTCATTATTCCCTTTTGCAGCTCACCCTTCAGCAACCCTGTTTCCTAGAATTTCACACTAAAGAAATAAGTAGGAAGTATATACTACCCACTAAAAAAGAAGGCAGAAACATGCTTTATAAAATTCGTTATTATAGGAAGAGAACAAGGACATAATATGCCCCCACACTTGAGAATATATTGCATCTCAAAAACGAAGCCAACATCTTGTTGACTTGTGTGCTCAACAATTAAGTGAAACCATTTAAAGTGAAATTTATGAGACAAAAATGAGAAAGATACAACACAGTAACTCATGGAAAAGAATTGCAAACTAATCTTAACTAACAAACAAATCAAACACTGAACCGACGGGCAACCAACAATCCAGGGGGCAATGGTCCAAATGTAAGTGTCCTTGTAGGGGAAAAAAGGGAAAAATTCAATCTCTTACTTACAGCCTGCAACCATATGACATTCTTTTCCAATATATTTCAGTGTGTAACAACAATTACGCCGGTCAAATAGGTATAAATTGAAGAATGAAACACAGACCTTTCAAAAGAATAGCAACGCTATAGAAAGAAACGTTAACACTGTACCTGATATGGCCATCCATCAACCACAAAGACATCCAAGGAGAAACCATCAGCCGTGGAAAAAACGTGAGCTTCTTCAATGTTCAGACCGATCTCAGAAACTATACAAGTCAACTGACAAACCAGGATGAACATCAATTTTCAGAGGAAACAAGATGAGATCAAAACTAACATGCCAACATTCCCAAAAACTGAAAGATATCTGGAAGCTTCTGCAGATAAACCAATTATAACTCACAAGAAAATCACTTTAATGTGGACTAGTTAATCAATGAAAAAACCATAAAAATGCCTGAGACAGATAAACAAGTAAAATAAAAAGGATGTTGGTCCATATAAATCATCTCAAAATTTTAATAGATATCCTTCGATTTTTGAAGGATTCCCGGCCTTGCACGTAACAGACATCTTACAGCAACCATTTAGGAAGGTTAAGAAGTTATCACAGCACCGCTTGCTTTCCTTCTGGGTTGAACATAGGTTTGTGGTAGTGCAAGGATTAAGGTACTTCCTGGTGCCTTAAGTTTAAAGATCAGTTTTTTCTGCAAAGAGAATCCACTTTACAGTGGCCCTCTGGAGTCTAATGCAGCTTCTTGAGGTTTTTGTTAGTTTTTATCTATTTTTTGTGTTTGAGGCAGTTTTTATTGTTCGATTTCTGACAGGACTTTCCTAGTGCTTCTGGTTAAATCATTTTTTCATCCTTCCCATAAAATTTAACAGGCAAAGTTGTTAATATTTGACAGAGATCAAAAGTGCTCACTTTTAGCAAACTTAGAGGACCAAAATCGCTCAAGAGCATATTTAAGAGATAATTTTGAACCTAAACCAAACATAAGGGATGTCATTTTTACCACAAAGTTTACCAGTATACGTATGTCAAGATTGTAATAACAAATTAAATTGTCTCAATATATGTGCAAACAGTAGATTTCTGAGAGGCCTAGCTCATTTTCAGAAAATTTTATGGTAACACCTACATAAAATATTCAATGACAGTTGTACTGAAACTCCTTGCAGTTATAATGTTTACACACAAGTACCATGTAAGGACCAAAGAAGATTTCCAAAAGGGAGAGCTACCTGAGCGAGCAACTTTGGCTTGTCAATTGTTGAAAAGGTAATCTCGTGCATGGGCCTACATAAATTCAATGGCACATAAAATACTGCTTGAATACAGTTAAAAAAGGAATCGTCATTAAGAAAATTTGTGAAAAGAATCAAAAGTATAAAAGAAGTGACCTTAATGGTTATCTTTCAAATGAAAATTTCACTTGCAATAGGATCAAGAGGCATGAAGATTGAGCAATTTACTTGCTTACCCACTCATATATAGTCAAGTCATAAGTCTACCTGACATTGCTAACTCTAGAAGCCCCCCTTTCCTCTCCTCTCTCTTCAATAAGCGCAATGAAAGGTGATTCTTTCTCACTGCAATCCATATCTATCACTTAACAACACCACCAGAAATTTGTAATCGTGACCATCTACCATCCTCCTCATCTTCTCCCCTCTCTATCTTTTCTCACATGATCATGACGATATAAGCAAAAATTTATCTCATCCTTCAACCACCATGTCCATCATCTATAATAGCTTCCAAACACCCCTACCACTACCATGCAATTATTCTTATGTTTAGTACTTACATTTGACACAAGTAAGTTTCACTTGTTCTGTAATGCAGAGTTGCAAAGTCAATCGGCTTGAAGTTATACTATTAGGGATTCATAGACTAGTAAAGAGCGCTATGCTGAGGGTAAACACTTAGGGGTCGTTTGGTAAGGTGTATAAGAATAATGCTGAATATGGTGTATTAGTAATGCTTGCATTAGTTATGCTGGCATTAGTTATGCTGACATATTTCTTATCCATTGTTTGGTTTGATGTATTAAAGCATTGCACAATTTCTTAAAGAATTGTTTATTTACAAAAATACCCTCATAACTAGTCCACTTTATTTTTTTTAAAAGAAACATATGTTGAGGAATATTTTTATATGAACCAGGTTTTAACAAAATTATTTGATTTGTCTACCTATATTGTAGTATAGAACTTAATATTTATTTATAAAAAAAAAAAAATATGCTAAGTGTTTATTTATTTACTAGGTATATAATTTTATTTCTCACTTTCTTGGATTATTTCTTACTTGCATTAATATAATAGCATATTTTAATCAAGCAAATTTTGAAGGACATTTGTCTTTAACTAAGCTAATGCATGAATTAAAACCCATTGCATTGTTAATAACATGGTTTCTTATGCATTAGTTATGCATAGGATAATACCAAATAAGGTGTATAACTAATGCTTGCATAACTAATACATAGGTTCAAAAAGTGTACCAAACAAGGTATTATGAATACACAAAGCTACTGCATACATTATTTTCTCTAATGCATCCTACCAAACGACCCCTTAAAGTAGAAAGAAGACTCCACTATTTTGCATATACTTAAAGATCAAATAGATGCAGATGCTGCTGTTATACATCACACACAGATTCTTACTCACTCCCTTCCGGACCTATTACATTAATATATCAATACAATTTGACATGCAGGAGATCAAGTAATGGGTTGCTTGATAATAAGGGTTGAAATTTACATATTAGGGTTGTGATTCATTTAATTTTTAAATGACAATGCTTTTTAAGTATTCAGCTAGCCTGAACGTCATGCCCAGTCTTCCTTTCTAAAATAGGTAAAAACCTGAGAAGTCAAGCTCAAGCTCAAATATCACAAGATTTTGGCTTTGCTCATCTTCGTGGACTAAGATGAATTGAGTTAACCAGAAGGGCTGCACTTCTTGCAGTTTGAAAAGGAAACGGAACGTCCGTAAGGGTTCCCCAGGGAACACTAATTCTATATTCAATCAACAATCATCCTAAAATACAATCAATAGCAACAATCATTGAATTTATTCATCCAAATTTTACCCAATTGCTTGACAATTCATTAGATATTTTCGTCCAAATATGATTGCATGAGATGTATAACTTTACTTATTTCCAATTTTGTTGTTCTTCAAAAAAAATTATTTGATAAATATTCTTCATAAAATATCTGTAACTTCTAGAAAATAAATACTCCTACTCTTTTGTTTAAGGTTTCTTAAAACAAACTTATCATATAATCCAAAAGTAGCATACTCATAGGCCATAGTTAGCTGCATTTTGTGTGAAAGCGCAAAGAACATTCTCATTCCTCTTCCGGAAAGGGCTAACCGCGCATATATGTGAGATATTGACAGTCACGAAAGCATGCGAGAAATAAAACAGCAAACTAGAAATTATCACCAACCTTACAATAATTTAAAATCTTAAGAAGCCAAACTAGCATCACAAGTCGTACGATATACCGACTCAAATGTTAAGGAAAACTTTACCTGGTTGTCCGTGAAGTTGAATTGACATCATTTTCTCCATCATTTACATGAGCATTATTATCATGATTTTCAAAGGCCTGTAGACTTGGTGATGAACCAAATGTTGGAGGAGGATGGATGCTGGAAGGTGGATGCAGGGAGGAAAAAAGATGGCAGACAAATCAATTGAAAACTCAAGGATGGAAGGACAGAAAAATCACAAGCCTGAAACTAATATAAAAGATCAATACAAAGAAAAACGACCTTAATGCTTAACTAAAGTATACCTTGCGCATTCGTCTTTAACTGTAGAATCTACATCAACAGAGTTGATTGAGATTCCATTGTAAGTAGGATGCACCTGTATTATGAGACTTAAGGTGAGATTTTGCATATGATAAGAATCTGCCAATTAATACTCAACTTACACTAGGCATCTCATCCTAACAAGGCAATTATGCTTGTGATTAGAGTCTGCTAGGATATTTGTTTAATCAATCCCTTCTTTTTTTTCCCTGCCTCTACTGGAGGATAACATGTCCAGAGATCTTTCCTTTATCTCATCTCCGGTATCGTAGATCAATCATAGATCTAGGGAGACGTGCCCTTCCCAACCTTTGGGGCAGTACGCCTAGTCGAGGAGTCTTATTGTAATTTGTTGCACATTCTTTAGTTAAGAGCTAGTGAACACAATGCCTTCTGCTTATTCTCTAGCCTATTGTTCTTATGCTACATAGAGCCTCTTCCCATTGGAAGCCTAAAAACCACAAACTCTTATGTTCCAGCTTCAACTCCTTGGGCATTAAGAATGCCTCTTAGAACCATATAAGACACTCCACAAGAGGGGGACCAAACACCACTGTCATAATTACAAGAAAAAGGAGGGAAAAAAGAAGAAAAGAGTCTCCCCACAAGAGCTGTAATTTTACTTTTCAGATAACAGGGTATATTGATAAATTAACTCAATGAACACCATCGCATTGACTATCTTAACCACATCAGCCTATTGAAACTTAGAGCCACCAAAGAAAATCTCGCTTGACCTTTAAGAAAGTAGTCCAGCGGAGTCCTTAACAAATCATAATGTTTCAACTTATTTTTTACAGACTTTTACACCCCAAGAAAGATACCACTGTACCTTGTTGGTTGGACTTTTCAAGAGTTGGGATTTCGTGTTTGTATTCTATTGTTACTTTAAATACAATGGAAATAGTTATTATTACTTAAAATTTATAAACTTGTACCGTTAAATCCATGGTTATGTAACAACGAAAAGACCCTTTTACATAACTACCAATTTGATGTGCTGAGGTTGTTACCTTATTTTTCTTTTTCATTTTTCCCTTATTGTTTTTTGGTTAAACCAACAAATATCCGTAGCCCACTGGCCTCGTTTAATATTCACGCTGGCTAGGCTCACTACCGGGGGTAAAGCGCTCCCTACCAAGAAGTTATCCCTTCTTAGGGCTCGGACCCGAGACCTTTAATTAGGATGGAGGCATCCCAACCATCCCCACACCTACTATTATTTAATAATCACATTTTACCTTTTCCTAATTTTTCTTTTCCCACACCACCCATTAACCTTTTTTTTGGCTTCATCATGTTTTAAGACCCTCATCTTCGTAAGTGCTCCTCCTCCTCTGCACTTTAAATGTCATTCTTGCCCCTTTCTTGTTATCTTGTTATCTTTTTTGAGAAGGGGAGCCTTGGCGTAACTGGTAAAGTTGCTGCCATGTGACCAGGAGGTCACGAGTTCGAGCCGTGGAAACAGCCTCTTGCAGAAATGTAGGGTAAGGCTGCGTACGATAGACCCTTGTGATCCGACCCTTCCCCGAACCCCGCGCATAGCGTAGGGCTGCTTATCGGGCGGATTGGACGGTTATTTACTCTTAACGGTTTGGTTTATCGGTTATCCGCTTTTAAATGTATTAATCCGCTAGCCACCCGATAAGATATCAGGCGGATTGGTATCGGTTTAGCTCTTATCGGGCGGTTATCAGGCGGTTTATCGGCCTAATTCAATCTAAGAATGATGTAGTGTGTCATCTGTTGTAGAGTGAAAAAAGCAGAACACATTGCATAGAGAGTGGAAACCATGATAAGGTTATTGTAAGACGTTGGACAAGGACAAAGATAGGTACAGTTATATCCTTTAAGGAGGTCTGATGGTGTATGACTTCTTATGAAGTACTAATTACTAAAAGTTTCCTTCTATTTAGTGGAATAGGTGTGTTACAGAGAATGTTTGAATAGTTCAAGCAAGGTGACACGACTGCTCTAAGGTTAAAGTGTACATCTGTCAACTGTCATGAGAGGCGCTAAGCTTAGTATCACATGAGCTTATGAGAAGATGAGCTGAGTGTCAAAGATATGACAGGATGACCGAGTGAGAATAAGTTACCGTAAAGCTCTAAGACTATGTCTTTTTGGCTTTAATCCAAGTGGGGAACTCTATCATTGATAACTAGATCGCATGAGCATCTGTTGTTAAGGTCCCTAGACTAGGATTAGAGATAGAGTAATGGAAGTGGAAGGGTTTTTGATATTTAATATATACATGGATAAAAATATATTTTATATATATATATATATATATATATATATATATATATATATATATATATATATATATTCTTAACGACCCGTTAATAAAATTGAATAATCCGCCCCCAAACCGATAAGCCATTAATAAAAAAATTTCAATCTGTTCCCCCTCTGTTAAACCGTTAACCCGATACCAATAAGCCATTAAGCTTCGATTTCGGTTCGGTTTTCGGTTTCGGTCCGATTTTGAACACCCCTAGCATAGCAGGAGCTTAATGCACCGGATTGCCCTTTGTTATCTTTTTTGAATCATGTGTCGTAATTTACAGGGATAAGTTGCACAGATTTTGCGAACAACTCATGCACCAAATAACATAAGGAAAAAGATAATACAGGAAAGTATACCTGCACAAGGCGAACATCAAAAGCAGGTCTATTCGCAGGATCCTCCGCTAGTTGCAGTAATCTCTTATGCGTGAGCACATCTTCTGCTCTTTCCACATTCACATCCGATGCATATCTGCATGCAACCATATTCATCCCCATACACCACTACAAGTAGACAATCTCATTTGATCACAAAAACTAGTATATTTTTAGACGAAACATAATTCGTTGATTCCCAAATCAACCATACTAATTCAACAAACAGAAAATTGATCAATCATCAAGCTCATTTCTATGGTTAATTTCACAGAAAATAAACGATTTTGCAGTCTAATTGCAGGAAAATCATCAAACTAATTTTTCTAAAAAAATATCACTCAACACACAAAATATCCTAAAATAACAATTTGGTCAAAAACAAGCCAACGTTGGGCCGAAACTCGTCCAAAAATACCTTAATTTTCACTAATTTTGGTTAAAAAGTTTAGTTCTATGATTTTCCTACAGTTAGAAAATAAGTTCAAGACCTTAAGTGTAATTAACCGCTCATCTCCACTAGTTAGGGCAATTAGGTAAAAAGAAAAAACTTACCAGCATCGAGTGTTTACACCAGACCATTAGATACATGACATGTGTTTCTGCATACACTTCTTTCATTAAACCATGGTAATTATTCTATATTTTCACCTCATTAAATCACAGTAGTAAATTAATATAGTTTGGTAAACTCCGGGCGTGCCTAAGTTTTTGCCGGCCAGTTATAAGTATCTTCTATACCATTACACTTTATCCGAGCTCATTTCATTCCACAACTAAATAATTTGTCCTTTAAACAAAATTTAAAAAATTCCTAAAACGAAAAGTTACTAAAATTCGACAAAAAGAACCTAACGAAAAGTACACGTTAGGGGGTTAAGAAATTAACCGAGCGGGAAGGCGATTAAAGTGAAGCCAAAGCTGGTCTTCAAAGCCAGGGAGGTTAACTTCATCGAGATTCAAATCCTGTAATCGAGTCAACACTTCGTTAAACGCTTGAAGCTTCTGCCTCTGAAGCCGGCTCTGTTTCGGCGATGACGGCTCCATAGCTCGGCTTCCGCAACTTTCGTTATCGTCCATCGCCATTTTAAAAAGTAAAAACCAAAGTTTTATGCTACCTTATTCAGGCAACAGGAACGTAAAATTTCAGTGCAGTAGAAGAAAGAAGTTGCTCCTTGATTAACCGAATACAATTGATTTGATTGGAAAGTACTAGAAAAGGGTGATTGGAGAAAGATAGAGAGATGCAGAAAGTGCGAGAAAGAGAGGGGAGGGAAGATTCCGTTTATATTTGGTGGGGTTTTATGTAGTAGCCTAAATTATTTGAGAAATATGTAATTATTATTATTATTATCTATATCTATATTATATTAAAAGAAGAGTAGTGAAGCATGTGTTTAAGCCAGGTGGCAAGCTAAAAAGAAGCCATTTGGCAATTTTAAGATAACATTAAAAATTTAAATTATAAATGGAAACATAATTAATGTAAGTAGTTTAATAAATCTTATACTCAATCTAAATAAATCTTAGACAAGCCATTTGGCACTATTAGAGANATATATATATATATATATATATATATATAGGAGGGAATGAAAAAGGTGACTTGGCACCTCTCTTGGACAAGGATTGCCATTTATCTTTTTTTTCCTTTTCTAGAGCATTGTTCTAATTATAAATTATAAAATGACAAAAAATCTACATATTTCATTTATTTTCCACTTCCCGCAGTAAAATGTTTTAAAAGAATTAATTACTTATTAGTTATTGTGCTTTGAATTGCTGATCGTGTCTTCCTTGTCAAATATCAAATCCATATAATGAACATTAATTATAGGCATGCACTTAATTATCACCTTTCACATTCCCAGGTCGTATCTTGTGTAGTAAACACTAATCAAAGTCGTCACCAACGGTTTTTTTATCCCTATAAATTCACACCCCTAACCTCAATCATTCAATCTTCTGAATTTTTCTTCACTTATATATTTGTACATAGACGATGTTAGGCTCATCACCAGTGTCATTGTTCTTCTGCCAAGTTAGTGCTGGCTCAAGTCGAGATTCTCAAAACAATCTTGATTGATATCGTGTTGTCGACTCAGGAACTTTACAGAGAAAGGCAGTGCTGGCTCAATTTATTTCCTCTTTTCTTAATCAAGTTCACATATAGTAAACAAAACAACTTTGTTTGCCCCAGAAGAAACAGAAAAGTCACAGAAAATGAAGGTAATTTGGAGTGGTATGGGTGGAGATTTTCTTGGTATCCTTTAATTAGCTCCTTCCATCAATTTACAGTACTTACTTTGTTCGTGTTGCTTCCAACTTTCCTTTTTCAATTTTTTTTTATTATACACTAACCATTAGATTGTTTATTCAACAAAAATAAATTAAAAGAAAAGAGGATGTGACACTTTGTTATATTTTACATAAATTACTTTTTCTTCTTATGTTTTTTGTCATATAAGCTAATAAGTCGTTTTATTTTTCATAATTATGCAAATAGTACTTTGAGTAGGTGTTCCATCTATATTATATTAAAAGGAGAGTAGTATGCATTGTGGTAAAGCTAAGTGGCAAGCTAAAATGAAGCCACTTGACAATTTTGGGACAACATTAATAATTAGAAATTATATATAGAAACATAATTAATGAAAGTAGTTTCATAAATATTATACATAATCTAAATAGATCTTAGACAAGCCAGTTGACACTATTAGAGAATCTATTTGTTAGATTCTATTTCTACTATTTTTTTTAAAAAAAATTATTAATTGACATTCTTTTAATAATGTCCAATACAATTTTCCAGATAAGTAATCATGGTAAGATATCAAAGATAAATCTAGGGATGAGACGCGCTAAAAAGGGAGGAAAAAGGGAGAACTTAAATTTAGTATTAGAATAATCATGAGTTTTGGAGCTTTGTGAATATAAACAATATCTTGATTTATAGTCTTAGTACCGTAGACACAATCATTTTTTTTAACTTTTTAAATTTAATATTGAAATTAAAAATATATAATACAACGTGTTACTTAAAATATTTGCAGTTCAAATATTACCATATAAGGAATAAAATTATATGACAAAGAATATGCATAATTTCCTTCAAAGTGAGGAAATCAAGGATGCACGACGGGGGTGATCAAGAAATATAGTTGGGAAGTGAATAATCATGCAATAATCACGAGGCATATTTGGAAAAGAATAATGTGACCAAGAGTCATTCCAAAATAAAAAACAATCAATATTTGAATTTATTCAAAAGTTTTCTGCCAAAGGAAAGGTCATTAATGATTGAAGACACCCTTAATGATAGACTCTAGACCCTAATAAAAAGTCCGCTACTATATAAATACTACCAAGAATACTACAATATTTTTGGAATATAACCCTATAATACATTATAACTTCAACCTTTAAAGTATACATCATATAGAAGAAAAAAACTAGGTTGAAGCCATTGCTTCCTTCAAAGAAATGTATACGAAAACTGACATCATCAATGATATATCCGATACAAAGATGCTATGGAATTTAAAGGTTCGTGTCGTGTGATTATGGAATATGGATGGTTCCAGATCGCGAAAAGACAGATAATCCATTTTAATTGGAGATATTACTGCAGATGAGAATGTATTTATATCATGCTGCTCGATTCATTTTTTGGAGTTTATGCAGTGAGAAGCATGTTATGTACTTACAACATAAATGCATATTCTGCTTCATGATAATTTTTCGATAATCAGGTTGTGGAAATCAAGTGGCAAAGCAACTCAAGATACTAACAATGTTATACCCAGACAAAACTGGAGGAGACTGATTCACGGCCTTTGCTGTTTAATTTAATGAGGTAGTCAATCTGTATTTACTATCATATAAAGTATTGGATAGTATTATTCTTTTCAAGTAGTATTTAGGTGCAGAGAAAATTAGTTCAAGTAGGAAAAGTAAATATAATTGTGAAAGATGAAAGTCAGACAATAAATTATTATGAGAGGGAGTACATATACCACATTTAATTTTAGAATGATTTTAGTAGAAAATAACATCTAAATGAGATTTTTGTATAGGTTGAGAAAATTATGAAAGTATTCAAGAAAATCACAGAGGTAGTTGTACATAAGAGTTACTGTACAAGAATGCTTGGGGCTTTTCAAAATATTTTTACGCTAGAGGTTAACTTTTTTGGTTTCTAAAAATATACAAGTTAATTGCTTGCACTATGCAAAGTTTTCATAATTTATTCAGATGCTTTACTTGATAAAATAACATTTAAGTTTTCTTCTAAATCTTTTCTATTTTATACTGCAGAGTTAAGAAAGGATAGCATCATATAATTAAAATTGCAACAAGACCAATACTATCAAAGAGAGATGATCTCTGCTTATTCCTTTGATTCTTCAAACATATGCTCAAGGATAATACACTATTTTTTCTGGAGCCAGAAATAAGATGATGAAACTACCACTTAATTAGATTAAATATTAGAAAGAGGGGGATGGATATAGTGTGAGAAAATTTATACGTTGAATTGCTAAAAGATAAAATAAAAATAATAAATAAATTTAAACAATGAATTAATTTTGAGAAATAGTCATACAAGATAAAGTCAAGTTAAATTTTAGGAGTAATAGAAAACTACATTCATTGTATTATATTAAAATGGTAAGTTATTAAAAAATTATATGACAATTTAATAATACTAAATAATGGATAATATAATTAGATAATCAAGGAACAAAAGGAAAAATAATATATTAATATTTCATTGATAGTATAACAAAATTTAAGACATAACTAAAATTATGATAGAGAAAATTATACATATATGGTGATATAGACATAACAGAAATCATAATAAATAAAAAGTCATAAAGGAATATTCCTAAAAAAGTTCCAAGTCATGGAGTAAAATTAAATATATTAATTAAATTTCTCATATAGAAAATTTTAGTTAATAAATAGAACTCGTAATTTCATAACTATATAACTATATATATATATATTGTATAAAAGTTAAAGGCTTATTATACTTTTGATGATTCAAAATTATAATTAAAATAAATATTATATTATTCAAATTTTAAGTAAAATATAAAATGAGAAAACTAAACGAATATTGCAGTAGAGATGGACCTACAAAAAGAGGGGATAAAGTTAATGTTAGGATATTTATACTATGAACTAATTAAAAAAAAATGAAGATAAGTAAATAACGCTCAAAAATAGATAATATTTTCAAATTATCCGCGCATCACGCGGGTTTTAACACTAGTTATATTAAAAGGAGAGTAGTGAAGCATGTGGCTAAGCCAAGTGGCAAGCTAAAATGACAACATTAAAAATTTGAATTATAAATGGAAACATATTTAATGGAAGTAGTAGTCCAAGATTTTCTATAGGTATCTTTAATAATAAATGGAACCATATTTGAGCAAGAATCAATTAAAATTTCGTTGAAAATCTTACACACTAATTTTGAGTTGAAATAATAATTTTTTATTTAATACAAGTTTTATATCTAACCTTATTTTTGAACGATATACATTATTATAGGTATCTTTAATTAAATTTTGTGTATAATTCAGTTATGGTAGGTATTCTTTTTTAAGAAAACAATAATTAAATAAACATTTTGTATCCTTTTTTTATAATAAAATATTTTGTATCTTACATCTATATTATATTAAAGGAAGTAGGAAGAGAATCTTTATTTTAGTCCAAATATGAAGCCTAAAATTCAGCCATTACAACGCAAGTGGGAAGAGAATCTTTAGTTTGGTCCAAATATGAAGCCTAAATTCAGCCATTAAAAATACTATTTAAATAACTTAAGAATTCAAGCAATATTTTTAAAATAAAATAGATATTTATTTTAAAAAAATTTCTAGATTTATCTATATTATATTAAAGGATAGTAATGGATACTAATACTAAATAAAGTGGCGCCAAAAATTAAAGCCGTACTAGATATAGAAATAAAATTTAAAAATATAAAATAAATATCTAATATAAGCAATTTTATTAACTAAAATTAAAAGTCAAATTTTGTATCTTGCAACTAAAAGAGAGTTCTTTTTTTAATGTAATACAAAAAATAAATATAAGAAAACTTAATAGATTTGGAATATAATAATCAAAGAACTTATATATTAATATTTTATACTAATTAAAGTTACAACTTAAAGTCAAATATGATATTGTTTTGATTACAGGTAAAATATTAATTAAAAATTTCTTAGTGGGGAAGAGACTGTATAAAGAAAAAAATA